TGCTTTTTTGCATTTTTATGAGTGCAGAGGCTATACAAGCCTTAATGTAAGGTGTGCATTACGCTGAGAAGTTCAGTTAGAGCAGTCACTCCAGTGTTCAAACACCAAAGTAGTACCACACATGGTCCTTAAACTCCTAAGCAAGCATGGGAGAACATGTGGACAATTTGTACCGGAAAATGGTATCACACTAATCTAGGAAAAAGTACCTAGTCCAGCGTCCCTTGCCCGAATCACTGCCTTGATCCTCCTCGGCAGCTGTCGATCAGGTTTGCACACACCTCCGGCGGTATCTTGTCCATTCCTCCTGCACCCTCTCCCACAGCTCCAGCATTCCCCTTGGCGCTTTTCGTACTTCCCCAGCTGCCTTTTCAAGTATGCCCACGGTGCTCAATTGGGTTAAGGTCCGGGGAGCACGACGGCCATTCCAGCACCGCGTACTCCTGCTCCCCAAGCCCAGTCTTGGACCAGACGACACCTGTGCTTGGGATCATTGTCGTGCTGGAAAATGACCTCTGAGGGGGAAAGCTTGAAAAAATCGATGGTCCTGTTTGAGCTCATCTTGCAAGATGCTGCGATACAGCGGCCCATCCATCCTGCCATCTATCTTGCACATGAACCCCGCCCCCTCATACGTCATGCAACCCCACACCATCACAGAACCGCCCCCATGCTTAACTGTCTGTTGGACTTGGTGGCTCCGAAGGCTGGTGCCCTCGCGAATCCAGGCGTACGCACGTCCGTCGGAGCAGTAGCGGTTAATCTTCGTCTCGTCAGACCAAATCACCCGCTTCCAGTCCTCCAGCGTCCAGTCGGCATGCGCCCGCGCGAAGTCGAGACGATCGCGGATGTTTTTCGGTGAGAGCCTGGGTTTCTTGGGCTGATGCACGGCGATCAGCCCCGCGGATCGTAAAGAGTTGCGGACCGTCTTCGAGTCTACGGCGAGATCGTGCTTCTCCAACAACATCTTGGCCGCGTCTGAAGAGCTTTTCGCCTCGCCGCTAGTAATCGCACGTATAACTCCGCGCTGGAGACGGGTTGTGATTAAGCGGGGCGGCCGGCCGAAGGCATCGTAGGTCGCACCTCCTCGCGACTAGTCTCCTCAGCGAGTTTCATACCGTAATCGTGCACGGTGCTCTTGCCTATGCCAAGAAGTTTCCCTATTTTCCTAGTCGAATGCCCCGCACGCAACATGCTTCTGATCCTCGCGCGCTTCTTTCATTTAACGCTTCATAGCGATGCGGTCGTAGGCTCGCTTCCGGACTAACAACTAAGCTAGGAACTGGTGCGCGTTGACGATGTACACACTGAGCGACGGGGGAAAATAGATCTACTCTTCCGCTCGGTAGGAAATGTCCACATCGACAGTCGAGTAGTAAATTCAACCCCACTTTCCGTTAGTGTCACAATCGCGCCAAGCAAGAAACGGATGAAGCAGAACTCAAAAACCGAGTAACAGAATGGAAAAAAACGGGTGTTACTATTTTCGAAACATGTTGCATAACGATACGTTTCAAAGTGTTAAACATCCGGCAATTTAATCCGCCACTGTATCAGACAAGAAAGACAAGTACCCGCAAGTGTCCCAACAAAACCATCACCTGCAGTATCGGCAGCAGGACCCAGCCGAGTACCACCACCATCAACACGAGGATCGCCAACGGAAGCAGACCAACTTATGCCCGCCACACGAGAAGCTTGTCGAAGTCCCGCCTCAGTCGTCGCGTTCTTATCCAACGCCGACATCTACCACCGCTCGCCCGGTCACCGTGCTCCCGACGACATCTGGCACCAACGCCTCGGACACCCTGCAAACAGCACAATACTTCAAACAATCCAAGCAGAGGTGTTAGAACGCAACGCCCTTCTGACGACGAGCGGTCAAGAACTTCGACGACCACGAGCACGGTGCTTCACATGCCCCGAAGCAGATCTTCCTCATCAACCTTTCCCAGCCCATCACAATCCAAGCGCACCCACTTACGCTCCGATGGAAAAGGTCTACAGCGATATTCTAAACATGCCTCGAGACGACACCGAAGCCGACTTCAACTACGTCATCACGTTCATCGACGCCGCAACCAGATACGTCTGGCACTTCAATCTCAAAACGCGCGATCAAGCCTTCGAGGCCTTCACCACATGGCTTCCAATCGCCGAACGAGAGTCAGGAACCAAACTCAAGAGTTTCCAGTCAGACGGTGCACTGGAATACCAGTCACAACGATTCAGGACCTATCTCGCGGAAAGGGGAATCCGACGCCTGGTGTCTCTGCCCTATGCTCACCAGCAGCAGGGGGTAGCAGAACGCATGAACCGGACCTTGCAGACGACGATGCGAAAACTGCTTCTGGGGATGAGGCTGCCCAACGCACTGTGGCCAGACGCGATGACACATGCTGTTCACCTGCACAACCTGCTGTCCTCGTCATCACTTCCCAACAACGCATCGCCGCACCTGTTGTGGACAAGAAAAAGGGGCAGCACAAAATTACTCCGCGTTTTCGGCTGCATGGTACAGTACAGACCCCACACAGCCCGAGCAGGACGCTTCTCACAAAGAGCTCGATGGGGACTACACCTCGGCATCGCAAAACATTTTCACGCGTGGAAAATTCTCGACATACAAGACAAAAACACGGTGGCATCACGCGATGTTATCTTCTACGAACGACTGACGCTGCAGCATTACCTGGACAACCTTGCCAACACACAAGACCCCACCGACGGCTTCGCGGGCCTTCGCTCCTTCGCTGACCACACTGCCGAGGCTGACGCAGCAGAAGAAGACGTACCTGGAGCCTCGGAAGCTGCCGGACCACTCCCATTCTGTTCCGTACCTGTTCCACTCGATGAAGATAATCCCCTCGATAGCAACAACCTCGACACCTTTTACCACTTCGCCGACCAAGGTTACACTACACCTCACCCCGTCGACACGAATATTTCGGAACGCATCGGCCCCAATTTCTTACCTGACCCCGAAGACGGTGACGAAGCAGCTTATTCCGGGAATGAAAATTCCCCTCGACACACGCCCACGGGACTCCAGATTCTAGGCCTCTGGGTCTCCGTCCAGAATCCGCCGCCGCCTTCTCCGCGAGAGCCTTCAACGTTGTCGCAGGCTCTGGGAGGGGAACATAAGGCAAGATGGAAGGAAGCAATGGAAAAGGAGTTAAAAGCTCTGCAAGACCGAGAAACGTGGAAACTGGTACCTGCAACGAGCATCAACGGAAAAAACGTTCTCTCGGGGAAATGGGTGTACCGCATCAAGACCAACTCAGACGGTTCCGTCGAACGATTCAAAGCTCGATGGGTCGTACGAGGCTTCGACCAACGATACGGAGCCGACTACACAGAAACCTTCGCTCCAGTCTCCCGTCACACCTCATTACGCATCCTACTCGCCGTCGCGGCCACGAAAAAACTGCCACTACGCCAAATCGATGTCGCGAATGCGTTCCTATACGCACCTGTGGACGCTGAGATCTTCGTCGAACAACCCCACGGATTCATCGACGACCCCACGAAAATATGCCGACTGACAAAATCCCTATACGGGATCAAGCAAGCCCCGCGGCTCTGGCAGCAGCATCTTCACAGCCGTCTCGTAAAAATCGGCTTCCTACAGCTACCACATGACCAAGGCATGTACCGACTGCAGAAGGGAAGAGATTACATTCTGCTCATCGTCTACGTCGACGACCTGCTCTACATCGGTTCTACCACCGACATCGTCACCCGGTTCGAAGGGGAGCTGAAAGGGGACCTGACGCTCACAGTGTCCGACTCAGTAACCCAGTACTTGGGGCTAAATATCGTCGAAGACAACTCGGCGTTCTACCTACACGCTGGAAAGTACGCAGGTACTGTCGCGAAGAAATTCGGACTAACACCGGCTACCGCCTCAACTCCCTACCGCTACGGAAACAACAACAGCGCCTCCGCAAAACTCCCCGCGAAACAAATCCAGGAGTACCAACAGAAGCTCGGCTGCCTACTATTTGCAGCAGTAACCTGCCGACCCGACCTGTCCTATAGTGCAAGTCAACTGGCGACGCATCTGAAGCAACCGGAACAGGAGGATCTCGAGGAGCTCAACCGGGCACTACTCTACTTCATCTCCACGCCGACGATCGGACTTACCTACAGCAAAGCTACAACATCGTCCGTACAACTACTCGGATACGTCGACGCCGACCACGCGGGAGATAGGGAAAATCGACGATCTAGGACGGGCTACATCTACCGACTAGAACCCGTCGGAACTATCTCCTGGCAGTCGAGCAAGCAGGAGTTAATCGCACTATCCTCTGCTGAAGCAGAGTACATCGCCCTTTGTACCGCGACCAAGGAAGGACTCTACCTGCGAGAGTTACTCGAGGAAGCGAAGATCGCGACCCTGCCCGCCTTCTCACTCTTCTGCGACAACCAATCTGCGATCAAAATCGCAAACAAGGACGGCTTCGCCAACCGAACCAAGCACATCGCCCTGCGGTACTTCTTCGTCAAGGATGAAATCGCGAAGGGGAGACTTCAACTCAGTTACTGCCCGACGACAGAAATGGCCGCAGACTATTTGACGAAGAAATTGGCGAAGGCAAAATTCGACTACTGCATGGTGCTGACCGGACAAACAAACGTCATCGGACCTGAACAAGTCAGCACTCCAGAAACGAAGGGGAGTGTTGAAAGTACATCAAAAGACTCAAGCGTTTCTGAAGTGTAACACTACACTCGAGGAAGATTGCAAGGGGTACGCGAGTCAACGGAGGTTACACAAGGGGGCGGACAAAGAACACGAAGGGTCTGGGACTCAAAGGGTCGCAACTGGAGGTTGCGACTGACCGTTACAGCATCACGGATGGTAACCGAAGCGGCAATCGAGTCGCTATGCGACTCGATAAACCGTTCCTGTAACTGTACTCTGCAACTGCTTTCTTATCTTCTATATATTGCTGTATGCTTGTTTCTTTAATCAATCACTTGTTCTCACATACTAGTACAAGGGTTCAACTGCCTCAACTTCCGCTGCACTACTCCAAGTCTCAAGTCTCTACAGCTGGGACTTAGTCTCTGCAAAAGATCCTAAGGGCTTTTCTCAGCCCAACACACATAAACTAAGCTACCGGGGTAACCCTACTGGAGTCAGCAGAGCAGCTGGCTGGATGTAATCCCTTCCCTCTAAACAACTTAAACCTAAACATCAGCTGCCTTACCATCAGTTAGTGGACGTTCGTGAAATCCTTCTACTGTACCCCCTGCCACTCCTTGGCACAAAAACGCGTACAACCCGGGGTGGTGGCGCCTCAGTCTTCCCTCTGCTCCCCCCTCCTTCCCTCCACACCTTGCCCCACCACGCGTTTTATTCCCAGCACTCCTGCAATCCATCGATCATGCCGACAATGCGACGATTCGCCGTCAGTCGTCGGATGGGCGCTCTATCCGTCAGGCTCGCTGCTACTGCATGACAGTCGCCAGCGCCTGCTCCCGGGGCTTTCGCTGCGCGTACTTCTGAATCCACGGGTGCACCAGCACGTCTCTCAGCGCCAATCGCGCCGACGGGTCCTTCACCAGCAGGCGCCGGATCAGGTCCTTGGCGTCAGGCGACACCTTGATGTTGCCGGGGAATTTGAGATCCACCTGCATGATGCGCTTGTACGTCTGCGGGTGGTTTGGCGCCTCGAACGGCGGCGTTCCGTAGAGGAACTCGTAGGTGAGCACGCCGAGGCTCCACACGTCCACCATGCGATCGTGCGACGCGCCCTCGACTGTACATAGAACAGAGTGGACAGGCAGCGCACCGGAGAGGAGATAAGAGAGAAGAAAAACAACGAGAGGTGGGAACGAGAGAGAGTGGGGAGGGTGCGGAAAACAGAGGCTTGGATGGATCAGGTAGTAACAGGAAAATCAGTTCTTGAAATCAGCCTACACGCTTACCCATTTCCGGGGGAAGGTAGTCGAGCGTCCCGCAGAGCGTTTGGCGGCGCGAGTTAGGAGCGTGCACGGACCATCCGAAATCCGCGATCTTCACCTCGCCCTGGCGAAAAGAGCGAGAGAAAGCGAGAGAGAGCGAGAGTTAGGGAAACAGGAAGCGGAGTAATCGATCCTCGAAAAAGCTCTTAACAGGGGGAGGGAAGGAAGCGAGGTGGAGAGAGATGTGAGTGGGTTGGTACTTACGTCGGATCCGATGAGCAGGTTCTCGGGCTTGATGTCGCGGTGAATGACGTGCTTGCTGTGGCAGTAGATGAGCGCCTCCGCTAGCGACAGGATGTACTGGCGGAAGGGGTGGGACGGGATTTGGTGGGATGGGGTGGGGTGGAGTGGGGTGGGAAAGGGAGCGAGGGGAAAGGCGAACAGATTGAGCACGAGAGTACCGCCGATAAGCGACGGATGATAAAAGTATGCGGAGATTAGAGAAGAGATAAGCGAGAGAGGGAGAAAGGAGGAGACACGCGAGGGGAGGAGGGGACCGTTGCGACGCGGCCGGCGTACCGTGGCGGCGCGTTGCTCCGAGAACTGTTGCGACTTCTGCAGCTCGCGATACAGCTCGCCGCCCGCCGCGAACTCGAGAATCAGATACACGCGCTTCTGAGACGGGGGGAAGGGGGGGCGCGGAACGAGGTGGGCGGACGGGAAGGAGCGCAATGAGGGAAGGAGCGGCGCGCAGGAGGGGGAAGAGAGAAGGCGACGGAGCAGGCGTGAGAAGTGGGGTCTGAGAATACAGGCGAGAGGTTGCTATACGAGTCGCGCTTTATGGTGCGCTGTATGGTCGCTGCATTCTCGCGAGAGAGTCTCATTACGGGTGGGGGATGGGGGGGGGGGAGGGAAGGAGGGGTGGGGGGAAGAGGGGAGGGAGGTGGCGCACCTCGTCGTAGAAGAAGCCGAAGAGGCGCAGGATGTGCGGGTGACGCAGGTGGCTCTGGATCTCGATCTCGCGCCGCAGCTGGTGCTCCACCTGCGACTCCTGCAGCTGGTTCTTAAACAGCACCTTCAGCGCCACGATGAACTTGCTCTGGAGGGGGGGGAGGGAGGGAGGGAGGGAGGGAGGGAGGGAGAGACACACACAAGCTGAGGTGCACACGCGCAGGGAGCGAAGAAATTCTGAGGCGCCTCGAAACTAGACTCCTACAGCTTGTGCTTGACTCCGGATTCCCGCCTCCTCTTCCACCACCTCTCTCACTCACTCGCACGCGTTGCCTACCCCACCGCTTGCGTCGTTTTCGCTACTATCCCCGCCCCGTATCCCCCCTCACCTTCTTCTCCCTCGCCAGATACACGCTTCCGAACTTGCCGCGGCCCAGCGGCCGCCCGATGTCGAAGTCCTCTAACGACCACCGGTGGTCCTCGCGACCCCCGCCGATCGACGCTGATGCTGAAGCTGAAGCTGAAGCGGCGGATACGGAAGCAGCAGGATCTCGGGTCCTCTGATAAAAAGCACGGCAACGAGAGTAAAAGAAGGCATGAAGATTGCGGAGAAGAGTAAGATGAAGTAGTTGAGGAATAGTCTTAAGTAGCGAGTCTTCATGCGCCAGTGCGAACGAGAATTCGTACAAGAGATGCGCGGTACACGAGGGTACACGAGATCAGCTCCGGTGTGAATTCCGGAACGGCGCGCGTACCTCTGGCCTCCAGGAAGCGGAAGCCGACGGTTGCGGACACGCCTGCGCCGAGGCGGCAGCGGGGATAGCCGCCTTGGAGTGGGGAGGCGCGCCGTCGATGGAGTTAGAGATCTGTAGCGGCATCCTTGAGCTGGAAGGCTGCTGCGAGAGGACGATGCGGGGAGAGAGAGTGAGAGATGGGGAGAGGGTGTGAACACGAGAGGAATGACGAAGCGACACAAATGTGCAAGCGAGATTCGTCGGTGTCTCGACGACCTTGTTGCTACTCAAGCGAACTAAGGCTTCCGTCACTCACAGATGCTCCTGCAACTCCCGATACTCGGCGTTGGAACAAGCAATTAAGAGAGAAAACCTTTCATTTATCCGTTTCGGGATCGCCTCACGTCCTTGATGAGCGATTCTCGGTTCGCCAGATTAGCCTGCCGCGCCAAGTATACTCTTTTCTCGCTTGACAGGCTGGATCTCGCCGTCGTTGTTGTCGTCCTCAGTGATCGTCATCAGCTCACCTTGTCGACCTGAGGAGCCATGGTTCGTTTCAGTCGCGGCGACGCGGTCTTTGTCTCTACGGCCTGCCGCACGCGGTTCTCCTTCGCGCGCATCATCGCTGTCTCCGCTGGCGCCATTCTCGAAAGCTGGTTACAGAATCTGGTCACAACCGCTGGCTGTCGTTAAGGAAACGCTGGCGTGACGATTTCAAGAGAACTGGACCAGCGTCTACTCGCGAAGGAATTAAATTGTTGAGAACCGTCAAGGGCTCTCGCTGAGTGTAGATGGCGACGGCTTTAGGGTTAGAGCGCTAAAGATGAAAAACGGCGACGGCGATGGAATTCTCTCTCGTTACGGCAGGAAACGGGAGAAGCGATTACCACAGCACCTAGTCAACCAGGAGCCAGGAGGGCCGAGGAGACCGAAATAAAACTAGATCTTATGCCACCTGCTAGTGGCGGACGAGCCGATGAAATAACAAAGTTGATGACAAGCTAGTGAGAGGATGAACTACGCAAGTGACGCACATGGTTTTGTGCGTGACTGGAAGATTGAAATTCCTAGCCAGGAAAAATGCTTGTTGCATGATCTCGCGCTGCTCTCGTCCCTGCTGCCGCCGCGGCAACGGCTGGATCGAAATGTTGTGGGCTCGCTACGCTACTCGCTACAGTAGCTCTTTGTCTAACGGATTGCGGGCCGCCGCCGCTCGGAGCGTCCACTGGTGGCGGATCGATATTTGAGGCACTGCGCTGATTGGTTCGCGTGGCGGGGCGGCGAATTCAAACATTCTTCCCCAGACCTAACGGCTCCAAACCGATGGGGCCTGGTTTGGTTCGCTTGCTCTGGTACTTGGTCCGGGCTTTAGCCGACCTGTCAAGAGGTAGGTTTTGGACGTCTTGCATGGTGTACTGTACTGGCCAATGTGTCGCAGCAAAAGGCCCGCCAAAACATTTGGAAGATTTTGAATTCTGGTATTTCCAAATAGGTCCGGCAGGGGCCGAAGCTGTTGTGTCCCTTTTTTCGCCAGCCAAAAAACGGCTCCCGACCTCGTGTCGCTGGTTTCGCATGCTGAACAAGCTCGCATGATTGGCCCCTGATCCGTGTTTGGTATTCCATCTCCGAGAAGGGGTGAAGCCTGATCACATGAGCCCATAAGTCAATTGTGAATCGTTGTCTACATGTCATCAATTGGACAAGAAAATGCTCTAATTTCAGCATAATCAAAATATAATCGGTGTAAATACACACATATTATAAATAGAAGTCGTCCTAATCCAGACAAATAAAGGCTCTCGGAAATAATTATAGTGTAGTGTAGCTACACTATATGTTATCCCTACATCAGCCCTAATAATTAGTAGGCATCGTCCACTCTACTGTACTAGTATCAACTCCACCAAAATGCGTCCACCAATTCCCAGTACAGGAGAGGGGAAAATGCCGTGTAATCGTGCTTTCTCGTTAGTCCGATGAATGGCTGTGATCGCAACACCCTCCTCCCAACACCGTCATCCACCATCCATCGCCATCATACCAACCTCTCTACTGCACAATGGTCCCCAGCCCCTGCTCCCGGGGCTTTCGTTGTGTGTACTTCTGAATCCACGGGTGCACCAGCACGTCTCTCAGCTCCAATCGCGCCGACGGGTCCTTCACCAGCAGCCGCCGGATCAGGTCCTTCCCCTCACCCGACACCTCGATATTTTCGGGGAATTGCAGATCCACCTTGGAGATTCGGTCGCACGTCAGGCGCTGGTTGGGCGTCTCGAACGGCGGGTTACCATAGAGGAACTCGTAGGTGAGCACGCCGAGAGTCCACACGTCCACCATGCGATCGTGCGATACACCCTCGACTGTATAGAGGACAGGAGCGCAGGCGACGGGCGTGAAAAGGGGCGAGTGAGCAAGAACGACGAGAGGGAGTGAAAGCGAGAGGTGAGACTAAACACAATCTTACCCATTTCCGGGGGAAGGTAGTCGAGCGTCCCGCACAGAGTTCGTCGGCGCGAGCTAGGAGCGTGCACGGACCATCCGAAATCCGCGATCTTCACCTCGCCCTGGCGAAAAGCGCGGCGAGAGTTAGGCGAACAACTTGACGGAACAAGAAACAGACAGGCGAAAGCGGGCAGGCGTGACAGGGACATAGTCTAGCGGCAAGGATACCCGGTGCAGCTCTCCTTACATCGAGGCCAAGCAGCAGGTTCTCGGGCTTGATGTCGCGATGGATGATGTTCTTGCTGTGGCAGTAGATGAGGTTCTTGCTGTGGCAGTAGATGAGCGCCTCCGCTAGCGACAGGATGTACTGGCGGGGTGGGGCGGGATGGGGTGGGATGAGATGGGGTGGATAGATGGAAGCGGGGTGTCAGGTGGAGAGATGGAAAGGGGAGGGAGGAGGCTAACAATCGCGGGTGTGACGACTCGTTTCAGAGACGCGACGAAACAAGGAGGCGTAAGGCGCGGCCGGCGTACCGTGGCGGCGCGTTTCTCCGAGAAGTGGTGCGACCTCAGCAGCTCGCGGTACAGCTCACCGCCAGGCGCGAACTCGAGAATCAGATACACGCGCTTCTGCGAGGGGAGATGGAGACGAGCACAAGGCCACGTGAGGATACATGCCAGATGACGCGACTCGCGTCTGCCATGATCACACGTCACACTCTACGCTTCTGGAAGCGTCAGCGGCAGCACACGCGGCGCACCTCGTCGTAGAAGTAGTTATAGAGGCGCAGGATGTTGGGGTGGCGCAGGTTGCTCTGGATCTCCACCTCGCGCACCACCTGGTGCTCCACCCGTGACTGCAGCAGCTGCCGCTTCGACAGCACCTTCAGCGCCACGACGTACTCGCTCTGCACGCAGCGACGCAGGGGAGAGGAGAGGCGGGGAGAGAGGGAGAGTGACAGACGCACCCACCCACACACACACACACACACACACACACACACACACACACACACACACACACACACACACACACACACACGAGGAGCGAGGGGAATGAGAACAGCAGGAGCTAGAAATGCGTGCGGAAAAAGGGAAGGATAGTAAGAGAACGGCGGAGCAGCGGGGAAATCCAGCGGGGAAATCCAGCGGGCGTTCCGACTGTAACGGTTACTATCTCCCTTGGCCACAGTCCGCTCACCTGCCTCTCCCTCGCCAGGAGGTACACCTTCCCAAACTTGCCGCTTCCCAGCGGCCTCCCGATCTCGAAGTCATCAAACGTCCACTTCTTCGCCTCGCCACTCCCGTTAACCGAGGCAGGCGCCGCCGCTGATGCTGATGCTGGCGCCGATACTGATGCTGATGCTGACGCTGATGCTGACGCTGATGCTGACGCTGACGCTGATGCTGATGCTGATGCTGATGCTGACGCTGATGTTGACGCCGATGCTGTCTTCTGAAGAACATAGAGATATGAGACGAGGAGAACGAGAAATTATAAGAGATGAGTAAGCGGTATTGAAAGGAAGAGGCTAAAAATGCATAAGCGTTCATGACAGAACGTTACTCTAGTCTTCTGGAGTTGCGCACGTACCGCTGGCCTCAGGGTAGCGGAAGCTGACGGATGCGGACACGCGTGCGCTAAACCGCCAGCGGTGGTGACAGCAGCCTTCGAGTTGGAGATCTGCCGCGGCATCCTTGAGCTGGACGGCTGCTGGGAGGGGAAGACAAGGAGAGGGAGAGAGAGACAACGAAAAAAGGGTAAGCCGCGGAAGACTAACGCCAGAGTAGCCTGAACCGTCAGATCCAAGCCACTACTGATCATGAACAGCCAGGAAAGAGAGATTGGCGTCAGGAATCGTGCTAGTCCTCCTCGCCGTCATCAATTCACCTTGTCGACCTGAGGAGCCATTGGTATTTTCACTCGGGGCGGCGAGGGCTTCATCATGGCCAGTCGCATGCGGTTCTCCTTCGGTTAATCATCTCAGTCACCTTCGGCGCCATTCTTGAAAGTTGGTTACCAGATTCGGTCTATACGAATACGCCGGCGGACGAGTTTAAGTGAGTCGGGAGTTACGGAAGTCTAAGGAAGAAATTCGTTAAGCACCAACAACTGCTCAGTCTGGTAGTCGACAGCAGACGTTTGAAGCTGACAGGCGAAACAAATCTTCTGCGTCAGATATCCCTCGGTGCTTCCTGAAGTGCAAAGCTGAACACCGCTGAAGACGATGAAGCAGGAGGTAGGAGATTCGGGAAGACCAAAAGCCCAGTAGGAGCTGATTCTGCCTGCTGACGACGGACGGCAACATGAGATGACGATGCTGAAGATTCCTGAGGGGGGAAATGATAACGAATTAGAGAATCAAGGCCATGGTTTTGTGTGGGGTTTTTAGGTTACCGGTAACCCTTACTAACGTTTTACTCTCTGGGATCACGTTTAGCCCCTATTACGGAAGGATTTTTCGCCGTTCAAACCCCCTGGGGGCAGTTTTTTGTTTTCCGAGGTTAGCCCGCTCCACAGCGAACCACGTGTAACAATCTCCTCAATCATAGGCAGAGGGCAGAAACAATAAAACCCTTAGGGGCCAGGCATGCCATTCTGGATGGCATCAACCCTAAACTCGCAGAAGGGCCGCGAATTTAGGGTTGATGCCATCCAGAATCGCATACTCGCCCCTATGGGTTTTAGTTCTTTCCCTTCCAGCCAACCTGCCCGAATGTTGTCGTCATTTTCAGTAGCGATACAGATCCCACAATATTGCAGGAAACATAGAGTTTAGTAGCCCCACAGTGACGGAACAAGGAGATTGTGACGCGTGGTTTTCTGTGGTGCAAACTAACCTCAAAGAACACAAAACTGGCCCGGGGGGATCGGAACAGGAAGAAACCCTTCTGTTAAAGGGATAAATGTTCCTCAAAAGAGTAAAATGCAAGTAAGGGTTACCGCGAACCTAAAAACCCTTTTGTGTGTGTGCGGGCCTGTCAGCTGATCCCTGGGGTGGCCTTTTGGGTTGAAAGGGGTTTGGTACTCTCATTCATGGAGGGTAATGGCGAATTTCCAAACCAATGGCGGCAATGTCTGTGACCCTACGTATCAGGAAATGCCGTCGTTTTATTGGGCTCGCCGCCAGCAGTGCGGTTCGCGAGGCTGGGTCTTGCAGTATCTGGCGAATGAGTACACGACGGGTGGACAGGTGTAGCTCGGAAAGCTTTCAGAACCTAGGTTTGGGGAGCAAGCCAGCAGACCAAACCGCTGGGCCTGGCTTTGGGTGATGGACATTGGTCGTCCAGCCGTGGCTTTGGTTTGAGCCGCCTTGTATGTTGTCACCAGGGCCTATTTTTCAAGGGTGACTAAAAACCAAAAGTAAGCCCTGGTTGTCACGCTTTCGCTTCAGCACAAACCATCTCTTACTATCTCTGTTTGTGCTGTGTATGTGCATCAAGTTAATGCTAATACACGTCAAACGCAAATCAATAGGGACTCATGATTAAAACTCAAGTATACAGCATGTGCATCACGAGGACCTAAGCATACCGTATTCTCCCGGATATAGTACCCTAGGGGGCTAATAAAAATTCATGAAAATTTTGGGGTGGGTGGAATTAAAGGCAAAAAAACATAAGCCCATGGTTCTACGGAACGTGCATACGCGTTTTTCAATTCCAAAATAGTTGTACTTGTCACACCACTTTGTTTTGTGTCACATATCAACATCTCGTGTCCTCATCGCGTACCCTACAGTGTGACCCTGTACTTGCCACATCGTCAACTAAACTAGTGGAGACGAGGACGAGGCTATCAAAATTAGAGAAGTGAACTAGTGGGTAGAGTGAGAGTACAGATAGATATACCTAAGTGTTGTACCCTCTAAGAGATGACCCTATACAGTCTATGCAAACATAACAAATACACATCTTTGACACACCCCCTAGACTGCATAGGGGAATGTCCTAAACAAGCAGCTCAGGGCGGCACTACTAGTCCAACCTCTGAGACAAGGGTATGAGAGACCAGTCAGAAGGAGTACAGACAAGGCGAGAACAAGACCAGGGCGGCACTACTAGTCCAGCCACTGGGAGAGGATACAAGTCCAGTCTGAGTATACATATAAAGGACAGTACAAAGTCAATGCCCTAGCAAGTGAGAGGCTATAGGAACCAGACAAGGCTGTACACAGTGCCGCTGATGATCTTTAGGCGCAAGCGCCTTCGTAAAGATATCAGCTGTGTTGGCACCTGAAGCCAAGTGTACTACGCGAGCCTGACGTCGCTGCTGTAGCTCACGCAGGAGGAAGTACCGCAGCAAAATATGCTTCGCTCTGCCCTCGAGTCGAGGCTCCTGACACAGGAGGATCATGGCCCTGTTGTCAGCGAACAGGACCGGGGCAGAGCTAGGCCGCTCACCTAAGTCAGTGAGCAAGAAGGTCAGCCAGCGGAGCTCCTGTGCCGCCATGGCACCAGCGTAGATCTCAGCCTCACAGCTGGACTGGGCAACTGACGAGGAGCGGGTAGCTCTCCACGAGACGGCACCTGAGCCAAGGCTGAAGCAGTAGCCCTGGGTAGACCTGAGTGTCTCGGCGTCGTCTGCCCACGAAGCGTCTGTATGTCCACTAAGGACCACGGGCCTACGTCCTCCTAGCACTAACCCCATGCCCGATGTACTAGCAAGATAACGCAGAACCCTCTTAGCGGCAGACCAGTGCTGCGGTCGGTGTCTGCCTGTGGCCACAAAGCGAGCCAGGATGCTGAGAGGGTATGCGAGATCTGGGCGAGTGCAAGTCATCAGGTACATGAGGCAAACCCACAGCTTTGCGTAGGGGCCGCTGGGCTCTACCGACTCCTCAGACACTGGAGCGGAGAGTCTGTGGTCTACAGGCAGAGAGGTGGGCTGTGCAGAGGAGAACTGAAGGCTGAACCTCTGAAGGACCTGGCGCACCAAGTGTGACTGAGTCAGGGTGATGGTGCGCGACGCTCTGTCCCTAGAGATCTGCAAGCCAAGGTAGCGGCGCAGTTCTCCAAGGTCAGTGCGCGTGTGTCTCTTCAGCAGCTCTGCCTTCACGGAGGCCAGTGCGTCCCTGTCTGCTGTGGCAAAGACCAGGTCGTCGACGTAAACAAGAATGTAGAACGGAGTCTGGCCAGCACGAACGAAGAGTGAGGGTTCTGCGGAAGACGGAAAGAACTGCAGGTCAGCAAGCGTAGCACGGAGAGTGTCGTGCCACTCACGGGGAGCCTGGCGCAGGCCGTAGACGGGGCGCCGCAGGAGCCACTGGGTCCCAGGAGGGAAGGTGCCAGTAAAGCCCTGAGGGCGACGCAAGTAGACCTGCTCGTGTAGGCTGCCCTGAAGGAAGGCAGTGGAGAAGTCGAGGGAGTGAAGCTCTTAGTCACGCTGAGCAGCTAGGTGTAACAAAACCCGAAGAGTAGTCATCTTCGGGGTCGGAGCGAAGGTCTGGAAGAAATCCACCCCCTCACGCTGACTGAAGCCTCTAGCCACGTAGCGCGCCTTGAACACAAGCGGCTCTCCGGGAGGGCGCTTCACCTTGAAGAGCCAGCGGCCATCGACTACGTTCACCCCAGGTGGGGGAACTGCGTCGACGAAGGTGCCGGTGGATTTCCAAGATGCCATCTCCTGCTCCATGGCAGCTATCCACTGAGAGGCCCAAGGTCCCGAGGTCGCCTCAGCGTAAGTGCGAGGGGTCGGGATGTCGAAAGCGTCTGGGTCACCTTCAGGGACTAGCAGCATGGAACAGAGATGGGGAGCAGCCTCGGACAGGAAAGCAAGCTCGAACTGGCGGTCCTCCAGGACGTCCTTGCCGAGGGCAGGAGCACCCCCGACAGACGGAGGACAGGCAGGGTCAGAGACCAGAGCGGTAGCGTAGTCAAGGCAGCGGGTCGAGGCGAAGTCAGCGACCGTAGCTACAAGAGCGTCAAGGCAGGAGACCGGAACAGACGGGTCGGTAACGAGAGAGGCAAGGACCCGAGGAACAAGAGGACGAGCGGCACGAAGGTAGTCAGACAGCGGGGGGGGTGCAACAACAAGGGAGGACGGAGGAGGCAACGGGAGAAGGGGAGGACGAGACGCGTGGGAACGAAGCAACATAGGGTGGGAGCGCAAGCCAGGGGAGGCAGGGCGAGCACGGGAGGGACGGTGAGACCAGACGTGAGAAGGAGGAGTCGGGTCAGGAGACAGGGGAGGGGACACAGGAGGGGAACGAGGGGGGAGACGGGCCGGGGACGAGTCCAGCGGAGGGAAAACAGGGCCGTAGACGGGAAGAGGAGGAGACGGTCGGGGAGGAACAGACGCAGGGTCGGGGGACGGAAGGCCGAGCAGGCGAAGGGCTGACACCGGCGGGGACTGCTGCTGCGGCGGCACAACGGCAACACCTGGACCGCAAGCTACTCCTCGGCTACCACCGGCACACTCCACACCAACACCCCCAGAGGGACCACCCCCAGGGCGACCGGGACGAGCACCCCCAGAGTCAGCGAACGGGTGCTGCGACGGCGGCGGCGGCGGCAGCGACAACGACGGCTGCAGCAGCGGCAGAGGCGGCGAAGAAGGGGACTGGGGAGGGGACGCCGGGGGGGGGGGGCGGCCGGCGAGGACTGCGCAGCAGGGCCACCAGAGTCAGAAGACTCCTCAACCGGGTCCACCGACGGAAGGGGGGTGACGTGGGACACACCAGAGGGGGCAGGACGGGGAGGAGGAGGAGGAGGGGCAGGGACTACCGGGGAAGGAGTGACCAGGAGTAGCGGGGGGGTAATCGGGGGACCGCGGTGGGGGAAGCGACGGTAGTAGGAGACGGACTCGTCAAAGGTGACGTCGCGAGAGTGAAAGAAGCGGTGAGACGGCGGGTGGTAGAAGTGCCAGTCGGACGCGTCAAGGGGAAAACCGAGGAAGACGCAGGGAAGGGTGCGGGCAGTGAGCTTGTCCGTGCCGGAGGCACGGACGTGAGCAAGGCAGCCCCAGACGTGGAACGCAGACGCGTCACCAGGAGACCCAGTCCAAAGACGGGTCGGCGAAACCTAAGGCTGCTGGGGGTGCGGCCACAGGTTAAGCTGGTGAGCGGCGTAGCGCACGGCGAACGGCCACAGAAAATGGGGTGCACCGGCATGGATCATGGAGGTGCGAGCCACCTCCATGACCAAACCGATGCGTCGCTCAGCGACCCCATTCTGCTGTGGGGAGTCCGGTAGGGTGAACGTCTGGGTGATGCCCTCCGCACGACAAAAGCGACCAAGGACACCGGAGGCAAACTCGCCACCCCGGTCGGA